GCCAAAATGTCTGTCTGTCACACTTTGCATCTCCTGAACGGTTAATCATACAAAATATATACATATATATATCAAAATGCTTATTTTAAAGAGTAAATTACACGAAAATTGCTCATTTTTCGCAGTTCCTAAACTTTCATATACGCGTTGATCCAAGAGATTGGGTTGACTGCACATTTTATATTTATTCATCACTATTTTTAGGAAAATTACCGTTGAACTGTTTCATCTGCTAGTGTATGTATGTATATATATTTATATTTCACTTATACACTCAAGCTGTATTCCCACAAAGCAACCTCTCAAACTGCTTCTCTTACCATGTATATATATATATATAATTTATTTACACATGAGTGTTTGCTTTCTTATACTGTCTAACATAAATGGACGAAACAAGCTGAAGCTGTGACTGCTTTTCTATGTGCGAAAGACCCATTTTTTGGTAGAAATCTAAGCTGAAGCATCCAATTCCGTTGATCAAATGGACTGGAAGTAAGCATGGCGCTGAACTGTTTTACTTTCAGAGTCTATCTGTACATCATATTTGTTCAGCCATTGTAGGTATATGATGTAGATATCAATGCTTTTTTTCATATACATGTGCTAATCGTTAAAGCGTCTGTTTTATAAACATTGCAAAACATCAAAGTAAAGGTCAATCATAATGGATTTGAGACTTTAATTAATTTTTCAAGAGAACTATTTACAGATAAAAAAAGTATAATTCTCCAAGGAAGGCATATACATGATCCTAAGGAACTATACCACAGAAAGGGCCACAAAATCAAGCAATCATTTCAAACTGATTGGCATGTAAGAAAAGTGTTCTGTTTCCCGTGTTTATCAGTTACAGCGATCTTAACAATTAAGTGACTGCTCTAGGAAAACATAAGCGCTGTGACTTGTATTCATACGGTTATCTTTGAAAACTTTTGGAAACGTGGGGATAAATTTAATTCTAAACTTACAGCAAAGGAACTAAATCTGACTAGCATAACAATAGCTGACCTATCGAGAGAATAATGAGTGCAGTAGCTTAATAAATCCTGGCAATTACATCGAGATCGTACATCTTATAGTCAAATATAATGAAAGTTAACCTTACATCTACAATCGTTTGTCCCCTTACATCTCACAAAAAATTGGATGTATTGTGATGTAAACTTAACACCGTAGTTAAACTAAATATTTTAATAATTTTTATCAAAACTGTAAATTTTTGTTTGCATTTAAGCACACATAACACAAATTCTTTTAGTCTGTTGACTTACATACCTACTTTGCCCCCCCCCCCGAAAATATTACTGTGGGCGCCCACGTCAATAGACATTTCAAACGTAGACCAGGCATCTTCTGTTACTTTGAGGTGTGTGTTAAATGATTTAGTCATGATGATGTCAGTGGCGACAGAACAGCAAAGGCATTATAAGAATATGTGTTACAGAAATTAGAAAATTACAATTGTGTTCAAAAGTTTGAAGCACAGATTTACGATGGAGTCAAGACAATGAAGTGAATGGATTACAGGAATAAATAAAGTAAAAAACGCCAGAAGCAACATTCACTCACCGCTATGGCCATACATTAAATTTTGTGCTTTCCCTGTCGACAGATTTCATTACGGGATGCAAATTATTTTTTCAAAAATGTGGAGAGACTAGCTGCAATTTTTAACAAATCCACAAAACGCATCAGGTAGAGCAGCAATACATGCCACAGGTTGTTACCACATGATGAAGCTTGCACTGAGAACTCGTCCAAACAATGATTTATTGCCACTTTGACTTACAAAGGATGTTCTAAATAATAAGAGACAACTCCTATAACTGGAAATCTGACGTTCTTGGCTCTCTAAACCACCCACTTCCTTTCTTCTGTCGATATTTGAAGAAATTATCAATGCAACTGATGGACTTTTTGGAGCTTTACAAAACAAAATAATGGATATCAGATACTGCCAGCAGAGAATTTAAAACACAGTAACGTCTTTTGTCAACAAACGCTAATTATTTGATTACCTCTATCACAGATTTGAACACAAATGTGCAGAAGTAAACCTTGAATAAAATGTCAATTGCTTCTACTCTACATCAGTCAGTCTGTCAAACAAAACAGCAAGAAAACGACTTTTCCTCCAAATTACAAATGACACTACAATAAGTGTAAGCTCACTTTGAAATCTGCAGTTCCTCAGTTTAGTTGATGGCATGAAATTTTCTGATTTTTTCAAACATTTTGATAACCAGAAACCGTGTCGCAGTATGCAGAGCATTTTGATTCTATTAGGGTGAAGGCAGATCTCGTTGGAATCTATAGTACATATGTGATTTTGGACAAATCACAGGGATGTTACTAAACTTGATATTTCAACAAGATTTGCTGCACAATTTATCTGAAAACAGAAAGTTGCTACAACTAATTTTAACTATACTGTCACAACAGAACCAGTGGAGCATTCTTTCCCTGCTCTGAAGCGAATAATAATATTTAATGATAACTGGACATATCAAACACAGCTTTCTACATTGGCATTATTACTCAAAAGACAAGAGACTTGGACGTCTACAGAAGAGGGTTGACACCTTTTTTTTTGCCCAGCTTTTTCCAGAAAGACAGATGTACTTCATTCATATATGTCTATGTAAATAACATCAAACCCTTTTATTAGCATTTATTGCTGCTTATCGTATATAATGCAATTTTCATTAAGTAGTTGATTTGTGAGTCATTGATTGTATGAGTGATAAATCTTTGTTTTGTATGCAGTGAAGTTGAACGTTGAAGTTAATAAATTGAATATAGCAGGACAGTATGTTCTGATATTTACTGGTGGTTAGCATGAAAGCATAACGAACTTTATGTGGTATGCTACATTTTCTTATAATTGCTACGTTTTACCATTTACTTTTGCTTTTATTATATTATATTTCATGTGGTGTTTCTATTGCCCATTGAAATTCTTAATTATTTAAACTAAGTAGGAAAAAAGAAGTATCATAGAACAATACTGGTTTATACGTTATATTTCAAATAATACAATTGGTTTCCAATAATATTTCA